GAAGGGGGTTCGCATCTTCGCCCTGCAACCACAGGGGCCGACTAGGCCAGTAAAATTGATCTCTGAGCCCAGCATTCGACGCAACGCTTTGAATGGACGAAGAGTTAAAGGGCAAGCTTGCTGATAGAATACCGTCAGAACCTCTAAAAAATCGAAGATCGATGAGAGGCGGGCTGATATTTGCAAGTACCATCAAATCAAGGGCTGACAAGATGAAGATTCCATGGTTTCGAGTGCCGATTAGGATAGACCAATCTGCCCAGGGCATCAAAAGAAGAGAGGTAATACGAAAATTTCCTGTGGGAGTTGGTTTGACACTGGCTTCCTGAATATCAATCTTGGCATCATATATACAAAGCAGACTTGGCAGATGTTCATGGACATAGAAGATAAAGTCGTTCGAGTCATTTCCTATCTCAGATTTCACATTTAGAGATTGTCCGCAACCAAGGTTTGACTCAGGTACAGCATTAGGCAGAGGGCCACAGTGTTTAGAAAAGCTAGTTAAAAGATAATTAAGTAACGATGAGGGCGTTGTAGCAATTGCCAATTATACCTCAGATCTAGTAAAAGCAGTTGTACAACCTAAAATAGTATGTGTATATGCAATAAGCTTTAAAACAAAATAAAAACATTTTCCGGTAGGTTATCTTCTAAAGGTTGCCGGATTGTTACTACAGTGTCAATAATTTTAACCGTCTACCGAGATATGATAAAAGAACCTTAAGTTGAACAATATTTGGGCCTGGTAACCCTTTATTTTCGTGTTAGCCTGTAATGATTGCCGAAAAATGCATGCCAGCAAAGGACTTTTGTATCATCTGGCATCGATCACAGCCATAAATAGACGAACCAGAATGAAGTTGAGACATACTTCGTCTACTAGAGAACTTTGCTATGCTCTTTACCATCCAAAGTAGACCGAAATGTAGATGGCTTTTAGGTTTTATCAGCAACTCCAGAGGGTTTCGAAAAAGTGTCAAACGGTTGAGGCAAAAATGTACACGAAAACCAGAGGGACAGTGGACTAAAGAGAGCATATTACTCATAGACCTTAACTTACTTCACATTTGTAGTGGAGAAATGTATTCCCCAAACATATTCAAATTTTTGCGGAGACGGATCAAAATGCAAGTAGAGTATTTGCAATTTGCCATTGTGGACATAAGGTTAATATAATACATGGATGGATATTAGAGATTTGAGTTGTCGCTGAACAACACCTCATCTTCTATCCAAAATGTACTTTTGTATCCAAGATAGATTGAAGTCTCAGACTCGCCATCCAGCCTAGATAGTAAGCCATTATTCTTATAAAGAGCTAACGAGATTGGTGAGATAATTTCACCACAAGAATATTCTCTTATAAGGAACACAGAGACGAAAGAAAAGTCTAGAATAAGCTCAGTTATGAATCGGAGCCGTTAACATATTTCCAAAGCCTAACTATCTTTAACTCATCTTGGAAAGTTGAAGAGCCTGTACTATTAGACGAAAGACACAGAACATTCATAAAACCAAAGATGACGATTCTTCGAAATTTGGCAATCAGAAATAATATGTAAAAAAGTTAAA